CCGTAAAGAGTGGTAAAATATCAATTTATAAACTGTATAATTTTGTTTTTTGTTTGTTTTCGAAATGGAATTAGTTTTCAAAAATCGAGTTATTGCACTTTTAGTAGTTTTTAACATAACCGTTTTGTGGGGACTGGGCGTGGTTATTATCAGATTTTCAGCGGTTTCGAAGATATATATATTAAATAATTTATTGTACCAATTGTTTTCACATGTTCGAATGATGCAATCCTTTGAAATATCATCTTAAAAAAACCAAACCATATATGCGAGTGAACGTGGAAAAACGTAAAATAATCGTCAGAAAATTACTGTATGTATGTATTTATTAAGGGGTTAGGGGTAGTCAGAGGCACGAAAAAATGATAATTTTCAGCAATTTTTTTTTTGCAATTAATCATGTTATTTTACGAAAGTAGTAATATGGCAATATTATACAATGTTTTGACTTGAAGTCACGAAAATTTCAAAAAACAAAAAGTTTTAATTTCCAAAGTTATAGCTGTCTGTGTTGACCCAGTTCCAAAAAAAGGTTCTCGCGGTGACAATCAAAAGTCATAAGTAAATAGATAATCCTGGCCCTGATCGAAGCTTTTTTTGTTTTTTCAAAAATTAACAAAATGACGGCCTCAGGAAACTTTTTTCTAGATTTTTGGGAAAAAATCAACAGTTAATTGGCCTTAAAAAATCGAAATTTTTGAAAAAAAAAATTCTGCGATCAGGCCCAAGTTTATTATGTATTCTAAAACCTGTATAAATTTCATTAAAATCTACTAAGTGGTTTTCGAGTTGTCACCAGTTCAAAAAACATAGTTTTGAGAAAAACGCATTTAAAGTTTCACCTACCTGCTCCCGAGTGCTTTGAAGTGCCCGAGCGCGCTTTGTTAATTGTCGAAGAAGATTTTCAGAGAATATTTTCAAGATATTACACTTAACGAAAATGCAAAAAAAAATTCTGACTACAACTGACCCCTTAAAGTTGCCATACAGTGTTAATAATAACAATTTTCTTATTATTTCCTCCACAAATTTTAAAAACGTGAAAAAATGTGAAACTTCCTATAGCTTGTTCTTCGATCAGGTTTCGGATGAATGAATCCACAACTATTTTGGTTTTCGACACCTGAGGAAGCGGTACGTATAAATTGCAAGTTTTTAAGATACTGAGATTAAGTCTGACCGCATTTTAAAATTCGTCCAATCTATTATATAGGCACACTAATTTTGTTATTAATTTTACGAGGAGTTAGAAAAAATGTAGGATGAAACTTGCTATCTATATAAAGATTACTACATTCAGCCACCGGAAGGCGGTGAGGTTCAAATCATTTATCGCACTAATATTTATATTCCTACTTATTTGTATAAATATATTTTAATATACAACTTTAACTATGTAAAATAGCCATTTCACTTATGAGCCAATCGACTGGACAACTGACACTAGTATTATTACTAGTTATCATAATTTTCACGGTCCAACATCCTGTTGGAGTAATTGAAGCTTTGCAATCGAGTACATACAGGCTAACAGAGGCTTGACCAGCAAACACTTGACGCGAAAACGAACCAGTTATGTACGAGTAATCGCAATTAGCGCTAAACTTAATATAATAGCCTTTAAGACTTCTACGTGATTTATCAAAAATATTCCGCTGTCTTCTCTCTGTCCTGCATCGTCACTACATCTTCAAGGCCATCCAACGGTTATTAAGTCGAATGGGAACTACCCTCCATATTCGCCCAGTTCTTGTAATCCTGGTAGCTACCGACAACTAACTCACATGTATGTATATAGCGCTCAAGTAACTATCGATTAAGAGAAAATATAATTATGTTGTAGTTTTTCAATCTTCCGGGCAATGGGCATATTTATTAGACAGCCGCAGGAAGCCTGATTCGTACGCAAGGAGTTGGAAGCGTTAGTGCAGTGGGAGGTATAGCGGATAGTCGCCCAATAAATTCAACTAACACCCATGAGAAGTGCAATACCATTTGTACACAATGGAACAAAAATATTCAAAAATTTATCATTAAAAAAAACAATTTTACAACAATACGTGTCATATGTTTTCATCGCTAAATAAAAAATTGGCCCAAAAACATTCGTCTGCATCAACAAATATTGTAGCAAAATCAACACGTTTTTATTTATTAGTTGTATTAATAAAAGGTTTCTTTCTGGGTACCCGACTGTGAAATCCGTTTTCTCTCAAACATTTTCGTACAGTTTCTGGATGTGCAATTTCTATAAAATATAGTTCCTATAATTAATTAAATTTCTATAATTAATATATATAATTATTATTACCGAATTATTGTTTGAACGGTTGACTTTGGATGTCCGACTAGTTTTCCTATCTCACTTAAAGATTTTTTGTCTTTATGATAATTTATAACTAGTTGTCGTACTTCAACACTTCTTTCTTTATTCATTTTTAAAAATAGCAACGTGAAAATATTAAAAATAATGAAATTAGCTTATTTATAAAATAACGGTATACTGTAAAGACGCTTGAAATAGTTGGTAGCACTGCTGGTGTACAGGGTTGCATTTTATCCACAATTTAGAATTTTAAAAACAAATTTTATGAAATATTCTTAAAAAGTATAGAAAAATTTAAAAAAAATTGGTCAAAACATCGTTTTACTCTTAATTGGAATTCTTTTGGTATTTCTATTTTGTTGTTCCATTGTGCATAAATAGCTCAGAACTGCACTTTTCAGGGGGGTATGTAGACTTTATTCGGCGAATGGTGGGCATCAACGCGTAGCTAATCGCATCGGGCCTCGTGTTCGATGGCTGTTCGTAAATGATAGACTTCTGGCTGTCGTTGAGCTCCCTTCTGCGAGCTAAACAGATTGTGGAATGGAAATATGAGTGTGTTCGCAAGTAGCATGCATCTCGATTAACACGCATTGTTGACAGCAAACTATCTGCAGTCGTTGTTTTCTTTGATAAGAACGGAAGCGTTCATTCACCCGTTCTCGCACATTGATAAATATTATTTTTGATAAAAACAAATCATTATTGAAGCAAGTATTGAAAAGGGAATATTTGATAGCGTGTACAGTATTGTACTACCTCAATATAGTACTTACTGGTTAGTCGTTACACTAAGCTTGACTCGAATTGCAAAATGGTTAACTATTGCAACCAAAAATGTTTATGTACAAATTGCATTTTCACTCGTGGATGTGATGAAGAGCGGTATTCGGTATTGCCAATTTAAAAGGGTAACGGACATTATATCGCTTTTTCTAAGTTTTGCGTGCATTGAGTGAGGTCTCAACGATTTGGCGATGTTAAATTAATCAATACTTAACAAGTACTCGATGACTTATAGCTTGATGGTTATCTACTAATTTACCCTCTGGTCTATAGAAATATAATTATGGAACCTTCCGAAAACAATTCTGAAGCTAAAAAACTAGATACCTAACATTTATTTACATTTTTATATACTCGAAATATAATATGTTGCTACAGATATAGAGTTATACATATGGTCTGTCTGTTCCGTTGACGTCGTGTTGAGCAAAAACATAACTAACATAAAACTAGGCTCTATAAGTGGTTTGTAAATATTTGAAAAAGGGGGCCCCGCCTTTTTATAGGTTCAATAAAAATAAAGGTTCATACATGTCTCCCAATCCACTAAAGCTAAATCAACCAAATTTAGTCAGGATGAATATTTTCCGCATCTCCTCCGTCAGTGTCAAAATGGGTGGAATCGGATTATAACCACGCCCACTTCCCATATAACGGTTATGTTGAAAATGACTAAAAGTGATAACAACAAAAAATTATTCAATAGTTTTAGATATTGGCGCGCCCGTTTTTAAAGCTCATGTCGCTACTTTTCGAAATAAGTGCTTTTGTACATATACATATATGTATGTACATACTTACATATATGGATATACATATGTATATCTGATAATGTTTTTCAACTATTGATATGTATGTATATCAAGATGTACTCGTTTAGCTCCATGACATTACTCACGTATTCCATTTAATATTATAGAAATAATATTCTCATTTAGTGCAAGTCAATATTTGCTTTAAAATTATCAATTGTTTATCAACGTTTCCTGATGCGTATAAAATTACTTCACTTTTATGAGAATATAATTAGGGTAAGGTAAGTGATAGAAGAATAATAATAAGCACAACGATGCCAATGTGCACATACATATGTATGTGTGTATATATACTCGTATACAAACAAAACACAATGATTAAAAATTAGTTTTTACTAACGATCTGTATTTCTTTGCAAGGGGTGTAGCAAGGGAAAGGATATTTCACCAAAAACTTTCCGAAATAAACCGGTGAAGTATTTATGTTTAAAGCCTTTCCGGGCATTTTATGAAATATCGTCAACATTTACTCTTGGTCCTTAAGCTGTGACCCTAGGAAACTATATTTTTTCAATGTATTAATAATGGAATTGTAAAAAAGCTATCTCTACAACAGCCACATTTTTTTACCCCTCCGTTATTTATTTAAAATACAACATTACTTCTGTTATATTTCATGTGAATACTTTTCGGAAAGTCCTATATTCGAAAAGCAGCTTCACTTTAACTCTAAAAATGGAATAATTTTAAATTCATCCTCTTTTCATCTGAAATCAGTAACTATTTGCATAATAGATATTTGAGATTACAATTTATTTTTTATTTAATTATAATTTATATTTTTTATTTTTAAAATGTTTCAAGAAAAAATCTAAATATTGTTTTAATGTAAAAAGTATAAATTTAATACACAATACATGTTAAAACCAAACAAATAAAATTTTGAATATCATTCAATAACACAAACAAGTTCAGCTAACATGTAAAACAGGTATTCAAGAACATTCCTTCACAATATTCGGGATTTTGTGAATGGTATATTTACATACATATTGTATATACATAACCCATACACTTATGTTTATATATATGTATGTATATGTTTTTTAAATAATCAAATCGAATTAACATACCGATAGCTGCTGTTTCTGCTATTCTAACGCAAACACTTCAGGAATTTAAGAATTCTGCAGACAAAACTCATATGACAGAAGTCGCCAATACTCCGGTGTAGTTAATTTGTAATCGATTTGTCCAAGCTTTGTCTTTCTAGGAAAATGCAGCTAAAAGTATCCGCGACACGATTTGCTGATTTACTATTTTACACTTGTTTTCTCACGGTAGCTTTCTGCTTCTTATTTGTTTTTTATGTTCTTATAATAGCGAATTTGATTGGGATTGCATTTGTATTTGGATTAGTATGCACATATGTATCACGCGAAGTAATGAACTGCGAGGAATGAAATTGATTCCACTTTAATACAATGAAAACAAAATAAACAATAAAAAAAACATAGCACAGGCAAAAGGGATACATACATACATACATATGTACATTTATGCGTGAACACATTCAGGCATATACATATATAAATACATACATACAGACATATATGCGTATGTTTATACTCGAGTGCTGTGAAATCTCGTGGCGCCGTAGCCGCGAAGCTGGTTTGCACATCGCATGCCCAAATCATCGATTCCAACAAAGTTAGTCAAATGAGATATTGTGAAAAATATTATTCCTTAGTCTCTTTACTCGTAATAATATGTGGTAGTTATAGCCTAATCGTATGTCTGATGTAACAGCTAATGAATTTTAAATTGGTCGGTGTCCAATAAAAATAAAAATAAAATTTAAAACACTTCTCATAAGTTTATCACAGGATAGGCTCAGAACATACCAAAAATCCAATTACGTTTTTGAAGAATGGATCAATGAAGATACATATTTAGATAAAACTCGCGGATGGATTGGATTTAACCATGCCCATTTTATAATTTGCAGAGTGGACGCTGAAAGCTGAGCAGAGCGCAAAACTGATTTTGATTTGCGCTGAATTCCACGCGTAATATGCTATTTTACTCGTATTTGCTTATTAAGCTAGTAATTTTATTAGTGCTTATACTTGTACAAATGAAAATTAAGACATGGATTCCTCAGATGACGAATATTTTGCTTCCAGCCCTGTGTTAAATATTTTTTTAAAGAAAAAAGAGTTTGGAAAGCATCCTATAAATACAAAACAGAATGAATTTGGTGAATTTCATCATATGTATAGAGATTTAAGACGTTATCCGTAAAAGTTTATTGAATATACGCGAATGAAAATCGAAACATTCAATTAAATTCTTGATAAGGTTGATTTATCGATAGATTTTTAATTGTTATTCTATTATGATAATTTTTTTTTTTGATCCTCTAGAGCAGGACGAGAGAAAACTTCACCTATTAATATCCATATTTTCAAAATTACATGTAATCAATCAAAAAATCAATTGTATAATATGCGCAATTTCAACGCTAGTTCTCTCATTTATCAGCTCTGTACTCGGACTCGGTCAGTTTCCACTCTGCGTTCCCTGTGCGATTTCGTATGGAAATGTACGTACACAGTTTTGAAACTTATTTCCCACCTTGTCAACTTTACGCTCGTCTTGGGTTTCAGCGTTCATTCCAATTACCCTTACCCCACCACATATGCTTGTGTATAAAGGGAAATTATCTATTTCGTCTTTCCTTTGAGGACCTTTTTCAATTATCATATATGTATGTACATATGTATATTAGTAAACAGCAGAAAAAAGGACGATAAATCTACAATCATTTGAAAATGTACACAACTCTGCAAAAGTATGTGGTCTTAAGCTAGACAAATAGAAATAAATTAAATAGCTGAAACGAAGTTTTGACCGAGTCGCCGCTTAGCTTATCCAAATACATGAAGTAGATTAGATATCTGCGATGGATTTGGGGCAACTTTCAAATATTATATTATATAATAGAATGTATTGTAATATCATTTGCGATCGGCCGCGAGGTAACGCTTTCAGGTCGTTCGCACAATAGGATCATTGCAAAATCTTATTATGTGTTGTTTCCTTTTGGAAAATATACAAAATATAAAACGAGTATACCATGAATACTGAACTTGAGTTAAAAGCTCATTATGGCTAAGGGAATATTCATACATGTCAATAGCAGCTTCAAGTTCCAAAGCCCTGTAAACAATTTAATATTTATATGCAAAAGACATGTTTGACTGCGTCGTCGCTAATATTCAGTATGAAGTGACAGCATAGCCCACAGCGGGAGGCACATTGGTAGAGTTCCAAACAATATATTTACATATGTAACATACATACAAACTTTCATGCCAACTTATGTAACGATATAATGGTCGGGTGTACTTATATAAATAAGTAATATTATCAATTTTATGCATTCAGCAAAAACGAGTTGGTATTTTTTTATTGTTTATACACACTCTACATAGTATATATATACATATACATATGTAACTGTATATGCAGATGGGTAAATGAATTTTCTCGCTTCAGAATTGCAAACGGAATTACAACAAAGAAGTAGCAAATTAATAAAGATATTAAAAACTGTGATTTGAGGAGTCTTTGGTATTTCTTTCAAAGTTTTGTAGCTGGCGGCTTTCTTGTCTAGGACGTCGAATCGTAAAAAGACTTTTTATTGATACCGAAAGTAATAATTTCTCTAAGCACTTGCCTTGTATGTATGGGCATGTATGCATGTATGGATGTAGATAAGCTATGCTATACTTTGTTAAACCAAAAAAAAAATATTAAAGCTCCAATCATGGGATGGGAGCTACTGACTATAATACAACCATAGGAAAAGCAACCCGAAGACGACCGTTATGTCTTCGGGTGCTACCCTTTTCAACATTCCCTTTCACTTTCAAATTATTTTAATGGTTGCAAGAGCGCTCGGTTTCAAATGAATATACTTATACCATTCGTTCAGAAATTTGAATTTTGTTATCTATTTTTTGTATGTGATATGCAAATATGTATGCATAAAATAATATAAATATTTTGAACAAGTAAGTAAGGTCTGATTTCGGATGTAACCGAACTTTATTTTATACTCTCGCAAAGGCAAATGGTATACTCGTTTTAGATTTCGTTGTGGATCTTGCCTTGTTCTGTGTTGAACGATATTTTCGATAAAAAGTCAAATATAGGCACTGGGGTCCACATATTCAGTACCTACTGGCTTGGAACAGTTTTGGTTCAACTTAGATAATTTTTGGTCACAAGGTGGCATACTTTAAACGTATTATTCACGAAAAGTTTTACGCCGATATAATCATTGTTGCTTGATTTGCATAGTGGAAACCGTTATATGGGGAGTGGGAGGGGTTGTCACTCGATTTCCCGTATAATAGTTTTGTTCACCTAACGGTTGTTTGTATCACCTAAAACTAATCGAGTTAGATATAGGGTTATATCAAAACAAATAAATTGCTATAACTAAGCTCCGCAATACGATAAAAGACTGTTATTTGGTACACAGGATCACATTAGGGAGGGGCATCTGCAGTTAAATTTTTTTTAAAGTGGGCTTGGTCCCGCCCCCTAACAAGTTTAATGTACATATCTCCTAAACCGCTAATGCTATAATAACAAAATAAACTAAAAACAAATGTTTTTAGCACCTCTATCGACGGTGTGAAAATGGGTGAAATCGGGTGACAACCCCTCCCACTCCCCATATAACGGTACTGTTAATAACTACTAAAAGCGCGATAAATTAAATTTTATCTCTGGGATGGTATAAGATGACTTTATAGAAACTGCGTTCAAAATTAAACAGTGGGCGTGGCACCGCCCACTTTTAGGTGAAAACCCATATCTTGGGATCTGCGTAACCGATTTCAACCAAATTCGCTGCATAACGTTCTTTTCATATTTCTATATTATAGTGCGAAAATGGGCGAAATCGGACTACAACCACGCCTATTTCCATATAACACCATTTTCAATTCTATCTGATTTTTTCACTTTCCACTATGCATATCAAGCAACAGTGATTATATCGGGGTAAAACTTTGAGTGAATAATACGTTTAATGTATGCCACCTTGTGACCAAAAATTGTCTAAATCGAACGAAAACTGTTCTAGCCCCTAAGTACTAAATATGTGGACCCCAGTGCCTATAATTCACCGTCTACCGAAAATATTAGTCAATCCACAAAGAAATCTCAAACGAATATACCATTTGACTTTGCGAGAGTATAAAATGTTCGGTTACAACCGAACTTAGCTCTTCCTTACTTTTTTATATTAACATAAAATATTAAGATGTTTTCATATTTATTTCTTTTAACCGCAAAGGAGTTAGTTCGAATATTATTTTATTTAAAATGAGAATTGTAATTAGTTTTATATGATACAAACAATCGTTAGGTGAACAAAACTATCATACTCTGTAGCAACAGGTTGCGAGAGTATAAAAATTGTAAATAAGGAGAAAATTAAGATACTCAAAATTCAATTTTAATTTTTAATAACATACCGCATAACCGCAAAAAATTTAGTTCGAATATCATTTAATATAAAACAAGAATTGTAACTAATTCAAGGATGTTTTATAATAAATAGACAAAAATATGGAGTAAAGAAATTATGAATTTTTAATACTTAAAGTTTAGGAAATCCCTGTTATAAATTTGGCCTTGAAAATATTAGTAGCGGATATTCAATACATTCCCGTCTTAAGTATTTCTTTGAAACTATTAAGCAGGTAGGTATTATGCATATTGTTCTACCACATTCATGGCAATTCATTCCAAGCAAAATGTGTGACCATCATCTCATCATACAAATGAAATATGCAACACGCTCTAAGTGTTGCGCAGTCGAACCGCACAAATATTTTTGAAAATTTTATGAAAAGGAATGACAGAAAAACTCGATTTAAGTTGCCTGACTCTTTTTGCTCGGGTGAATGCACAGAGCGACACCAAAAGAGATTTTGCCGAAAACGAGGGTCAAAAGAGTCTGTGTGTAAAAGCCGTCTTACAAAGCTTAGGTGTCTTTTTTAGACCTATCAACCCAGCAGACAACCGCAAATGGTTATTCGAACTCATGGAACTCAATCTGTGGTGCATTATTGCGCAATAAAGCAACATTAGAAATACTCTGCTTGGACAGATAGACTAGCTGTATCTTGTCGTGTAGATTAATTTGTGCAGATGTTTTCATAATATGCTGTTCATGATTCTAATAAAATCGAGTAAAAGTAAAGGTTAATATGCACAATTAATTGAAAGAACATTTATATGCATATGCATATATCTACATATACTTGTATATAGTTTTATTTTAGTTGTCGGTTAGTACATGAGTAATTAAAACTCTAATAATATTTTCATTGTTTGCCAAGCCGGCGACACAAGGTTTTCAACAGCATTTTATTTTTTATTTTACTTTTTCATTTGTACCGGTCAATGTTTTTCGTTTTCGTTTTCTTTTGGTTTTTGTTTATTGTTTGATGTTTTAAAACGGCTCGTTGCGAAAAGTGAAAACTCTTTGACTAAGCAGCAGTAAGTTGACAAGTATGTGTTGATGTGTTTTTTGTTGTTGCTCTTCATTTTTAATGCATTTTAATTTTTAGTTAACGTTTTCCCTTTTTTGCTGCAATGTCTATTTTAACAACAAAAGTTACACCTTAATACTGAGCGACTGTTACAAAAACACTTTCACAAAACTACATACGACTGGCTCCACGGCGGACGGACGGAGATAAACTTACTCGTAATGGAGGAAAGAAGAAACACGTACAATAGATTAATACAAGTTCGAAGCATGTATTATTTTTTTAAAAGCACGCATTCACCGGACACACACTTATGTACATATGGACATGCACACACACACACACAGATGAGCATATGTATGTATGTACATATATACTAATATAGAATTGGGCTTTGGAAAATGCGTTTATTATCGCTTTGTCAAACTTTACTATATTTTGATAAATCAAAAAATATTCAATTGCGCAAACAACTGATGCCCTACAATACAATGAAGGGTTTGTTTGTTAACAACTATTTTCTACATTTATCTACATATGTATGTATGTGTGCACATGTACATTTATTGATGTGTATGCTGCTCGACTTTTTACGCAATTATGTGTAACCATTTAAGGCGAATCACTTGAAACCCGTTGATATATATTGTTTGATTCACTTCTTCTGGCTTTTCGTAGCGCTAAGAACGTAATGAAGAATGGAGAAAACCAACGTCAGCAATACTAAAAGCGATATAAGAAATATCAAAATCGCAATTTAAACGCTTAATATAGACACAAACGCACTCAACTATCTAAACACGACAGCGCAAGTGCCCCTCATGTATATATGCACATGTTTGTATGTATGTGTTGGCATGTTTAATTGTATGTATCTCTGGAAAGCAATCGTAGACTTGCTCCACAACTCTTTGCTCTGAAGTAAAACTCGTATGCGCTCATGTACAGCTACTTACGCTTGTCTGCATTCACATATAATATATATAAATATGTACACACACAATTACAGCACAGAAATATTTTTATGTACGTATGTATCTTCATTAACACTTTGGCTTTGCCAGTTGACACGCACCTCACTTTTCACTTGTTGCAATTACAATCGCTCCCCGCCGTATATTTCCAACTCGTTTATTGTTGCATCGAAAAAGCAAATAAGCAAAATCAAGTAGTTCTTTGCCTTTGGTTACACCATATACCGGAGAAAAATAGTTGACAGTGCCTCCGACGGCAAAAAATAAGAAGAAAATTTACAAAAAAAAAAATCTTAATACGCTGCAAACCGCACACAACCAGAACGATCGACGCTTCCAAGATGACTAAACTCTGATTTGCTTCCAAACGAGTGTTTCTACGGAGCGCTCTGCGTTAATGTGAGATTAGTGGCGTACTGCAGCTTGGACTTGTGTTCGGAGAGAGGAGATT